AGATCTGAGGGGCTCTGCCACTGCATCCGTCACCCAGAGACACAAGTTGACCACCTCCATGCGCCTGTAGTTTCACCAGCACCCTCCAAAACGGAACACAATGATGCTCATATTACTGCTTGGCGGCAGAAATAGGTAAGAAGACGCCCGGGTTTTCACCTGGCGCTTTGTTAATGCCTTTGTTTAAATTGGGTTAAAACCCATTAATGCCCGAAATTGAGGTCGAAAAACTATTAACTAAATACTTGTTGTAAATCGAGTTTTGTTCAAATTTAATGTTATTATTATAAAATATTTTTTGCTTTGTGATCTAGACTATTAGATTTGCCTTTCTATTGAATCGATTCGCGCGAAATAAATCGATACAAAAAGTCGTTAAATCATAAAGACATTTCAATCGATTTTCATAAAAATCGAATCGTAATTGCATCTTTAGTAGTGAGAATCCACAGGACTGCTTCTTTTTCGCATAAAAAAGATTTTTTACGTATATAAATAATATTACCCTGCCCTCAATACTACTCCTGTCCCGAATTTCATGTAAGGGAGAAGGGGGTAGTCTCCCCTTGTTTCAGTAGAAAACCAGCCCTGCGACTGTCCCGAACTTATTATTATTTTTTATAGAAATTTATTATTATTTATATAAAATTTGAAATAAGTACGGAATTATACCAAAGTACGTAGTTGCCGTTTCCGCACACGATTTTGGGCAGAAAAGTGTTAAAACTCGGCACTATATAAAGCTGGCTAAAACCCCAGCGGGTTGATTAGGTTTTAACCCACTGCCCCTCTGGTGGCAGAACTTCCCGCAGTGTACACAGTGCAACAAATCATCAAGGTTGTCAAATATGGGCCTAACTTAACACCAGTGGCTATAAATACGGTTTGAAATCTTCCAATTCGTGCTTGACGTTTCTACTTCATATGACGATCAGTTTTCAGTTATCCTGTTCATCATCATCATTTCAACCGAAAAATGTCAGGCCTCCCCCAAAGACCACACGTCCAATGGATTCCCACAACCTTCACCAGGTCGTCGATCCACCTTGTGGGTGGTCTGACCACGCTGCGTTATCCCTGTCACACGTGCCAAATTGTAGTCAAACATTCAACGAAACAATAGGAAAAATAACTGTGTCAGAATATATTGAACACTATGCATTCGTTACCAAAGCAATACGATCATGTCGGCCGTGTATGCCATCGCGTTAATGTTTACAAATTTGACACCTAAATGGTATAGAGGTTCTTTCCACTGATTGTTATAAGTTTATAAACACGGATAAAACAAGGACCGTGTTGCAGATAAGGTTGCATTTTGCACTAACTGTTGTTATCGATCTTACACGTGTCGTACGATTGATCGGTGGCTTTTGTTTGTATAGGTGGAGAAATTGTTTACGTAGAGTTACAAGCTCGTGCAAGAGCTATGCAAGTACAGTAGTACGAAGTAGGCGCATGCGCAAAACAATACACGCCGAGCGTTCAATACGGGCCAGAGCAATCCGGCGGACGGGAAGGCAGAGTATATTAAATTTATCAATGCATACTTACTTTTTTTTATAATACCAAGTGACGAGACGAAATTGTCGTTCGTGCACCTGGTAGTATGCGACATGCCGATCCGTAGCGGTTGCAATAGTTGCAATTTAAAATCTTAGGGGCACTGCCACTGTGCCCGTCACCCAGAGACATAAGTTGACAAGTTCCATGTGCCTGTATTATTATTATTATTACTAAGGTGGCTTCATTCAGGGACTATGCATCCCCTCATCACTGCGACCATTGACTGATCTATTGTGATCACCACTAATTACAGTGCAGAGCCAAGGCCGACAGCATTGAAAAACTGAAGGACTTTCCTGGCTCCGACCGATTTAATGTTCTCTTGTTGTGGCATGTGCCTTCCCAGTACGGAACTTCGTACGCCCATTAGCATTGGGTGAGTAGATGAACAGAAGTTTCATCCTTCGTGTGGCAGAGTCTACATTCTCTATTTTCTCTCTGTCCAATATTTGACATGTGCTTGTTTAAGCCACAATGCCCTGTTAAGGCTCTAGTGAGCATTCTTATGCCATTCCTTTCCAATGACAGAGCTTTTGCAGAGATTTTGAGCAGAGATATCAGGACTTTTGAATGCTCAAGACCCTTGTTCTGTAGCCACACTTCTCGAAAGAGGTGTGTGCTCTCATTTAGCAGAGTGAGCTTTGCCAGACTGTATGCTTTTTTGCCCATGCCCATGTGCCTGTACCTTCACCAACACCCGGCAGAAATAGGTAAAGTGACAGTACTTCTTGGACGAACTTTTTCACAAGGAGCTCTACTGCTACTAAAACGTATGCTATTACAATTAATATAAGGTATACATTTCAATGCTCAAAGGTCGACCGCGGAGTATAATGGAATCCCCCTGTTATGCGTCGAGTGAACGTTGCGATACGCTAGTGGATGCTGGCAGTATTGGAAGGGACGTTTCTCAACAGTGTGCGCTGGCGGGCATAATGCTCTCCCCCGCACTGCTCTGGTTTACGCTGGTCCTCATACATGTTATTTTCATAGGCATCTTTAACTCTTAATTGGTCGCGTGGGGTGTTTCACAATCCATCGCAAGTTTCTAGGCTCATAATTTTTTAAAATTCGAACTTAGGGCGCCTATCTTCAGGCTAGCTTCGTAAACGCGATTGTAGTTGACAATTCATTATAGTAATCTGCGCTTCTTGTGTGTAGTTGTACTTGGAGAGCGGTGTTTGGGATGTATAACACCTCACGCGACCGATTGTGTAGGCGAAATTCAGTAAGATAAGTAAATATAATTTTTATTATTTACATTTACTAACACTACTACATTAACATTATTACTAACATTAACTGCTTCCGTGGCCGAACGATTACCATACCGGACTGCCACGCAGAGGTCCCAGGTTCGATTCCCGGGCCGGGCGAAATATTTGTATGACCTACATTTATTTCTCTCGTGAGTTTGGGTGTAATTTGTGGTTGTCTATGTGTGTGTCCATGGCACCCGCGACACAGGGTTTCCCTAGTGCGGGGCTATGTTGAGTGTGTGCGTTATTATTATTATTATTTAAACAAAATAGGTAGACAAACAATACGTTGCAGTGAGTGTCAATTTATAAAACGAATAAATTGGCATAAAAGATCATGCTGTGAGGTGGTGCTTTTTTATATATTTGTCTTAAGGTAGCTGTAAAATGCCACGTACATTGACTGATTTAGAGATTGCACAGCAACTGAAAGACGAAGAAGTAGAAGTTATTGATAGTGCTTCTGAAGGTGAACAACATCATGAAGTCATCTTAGTCATCATAACTGTGCTTCAGAACAAAGCGAAAGCGAAACGAAGGCATTCGCACACGTTCTAGACTACTACAAAAACAACACAAGAGGCTTGAAAGCGGAGATACTGAATCAGCATCTGGAGCATTCTGATCGCCTTCATATAAACGATGCCATTGTCCTAGATTAAGGATCCACTATTATTTCTACAACAAATTACACAATAAAACTGTTCATAACAGCATTTTACAAAACATTAACAAAATTTTTACTACTCTAGCTCCGATTCACAGTACCTATAAAGGTATAATTTCAACGGTAAACGTATAGCAATAAGCAATAAAATGTTGTGTTGACATAATTAAAATAAATGCTTATTATACAAGTTGTAACCACGTGGTACGGAGTGTGACTTTTGCGTACAAGTTGTGCTTCTTGGACACCGCGTTAATGACGTCAATAGCGTCAGCTATTATGCGATAAAGTCATATGTACCATGAAAATATCCTAACAACACCCACAAGTTTGATTTGACTTCCTTGTGAAAAAGTTCGTTCATGGAAGTACTGTCACTTTACTTATTTCTGCCGCCAAGCAGTAATGTTATCATTACTGCGTTCCATTTTGGAAGGGTAAGAGAAATTACAGGCACAAGGGACTTGTCAACTTATGTCTCAGGGTGTAGGGCGCAGTGGGAGTGCCCCTAAGATCTTTGCGATTTACAGCTCTGAGAGGCACCACAACTGTTATAGATTGACGTGTCGCTTATCACCAGGCGCACAACTTGTTCGTCCCGAGACTTGGTATTATAAAACAAATTTTAAAAAAAGATAAGAAAAGAACGAACTATATCACAATGCACAACGCAAAATATTCAATCACGTTAATGATTTTTTTCCATCAAAGAATGATGAGTCAAAATGGACTAAATCGACAAAATTGATATACACCTTAAAAATAAAGGTTACTATTATTATTAATACATAATATAAATACTATCTCATTAGGTATCAAAGTTGCCGGAGAGTCGATTTACAGGTGATTAAAACAAGTACCTAATATCGAATCCTTAATTTAAGAACCTGTGCTCATTGTCGTTTCCGTGATGATACTTCGATTTGGGAGGACATGAGCCATTCGTCGCCCCCGCATATCATTTATTAAAAGTGCTCATAGATGAATAAATGTTGATAGAATATATACCTTTAAAAAAATAGAATATCGTCTGCTTAAAGGTAAATCCACATTAATGACATTTTCCGCAAAAAAATTCCAAATTATGTACCATTTGGATGAAATTCGCCATCTTTCTGCAAATAAAATTCTTATTAAGTTTATGGTTTTTTTATTA